TAATCGTGTATTGTCAAATCAATTCTGACTTAAGGTAACCCATTTTTAGAGTCTTTTCTAGGCAGTAAGTCTTCAGAAGTGGCTTAGCATTCCATTCCGCTGGGGGCACCCTGGGGCTGGGCAGTTTGCTCAAGGCCACGCTGACTGGCCCTTCTTCCAGGAGGCACAGTAGGAAATCGAACTCCCAGCTTCCAGCTCTGCAGCCAAAGCTATCATGGTATGGTCAGAGGGCAGGCACAGACTGCTGCCCAGACAAATACAGGCCTGAACTCTTTGCTTTTCTACTGACGGTTCTTAAAGTCAGAATCTGCACCAGAAGCAATATACACTAGTCTGTTTAGCTGTCAGTTACAGGGGTATAAATACTGGGCCTTCCTCAGCTTCTTTGTCTATTGATGGGTTTTCCTACATCTCCCATAATTATGGAAGTTACAGTCCAACTCTTAAGGGCATCCAGGTTAGAGAAAGCTGATTTATGTTATGCCTAGGAAAGTCAGCGCCTTCCTAAAGCATGCTAATTGGAGGGGGGGGAGTTAAGGTTGCACAATCCTCTCTCCACTTTCTGCCATCTGTACCAGAAGAAAAGTCTGCGTATAGGCCAGATAGCTCCCAGCTTCAGATCCTGAGGCCCTTGGCTTAAACCCTGGGATTGCTGAATAGTAGAATAGGATGAGGTAGTACTTTGAGTGCCCTAGTTCATGACTGAGAATTGTTTCAAGGCATTGCAGGGGCCCATATAGGTTTCTGATACTGGACAGGTGACCCTTGTTTTATGGGCCTGTATCAGACCAATAACCAAGGCAGAGACACCGAGCCCTTCAACTTTAACTCTGCCCAATGCACCTTCTCACTGCCAGCCAGATCCACCAGGTAAAGCTTCCCACTCAGTTTCTGCTCAGTCTCCATGTTCTCCTGCTTGATGTTGATGAGGAAGATACTGTGACTGCGGGAACTGTGCTCATTCATGTCTGCAGGGGCAAAACAGAGAGACAAGATGGAGGCAAGGTCTTCAGTAACCCTAAGACAGGGATCCTTTCTGTTCTGGTTCTACAGAGCACATCTATTTGCAGCCTATATTCTGTGACTTTAGCATGTTTGGCGGTAAAAGACTGCAACAACAATTGCTTTCTCTAGGGAGCAGCAACACTGCTGCTCATAGCAGCTAATCTCACAGTTGGCTTAGAAAAATACACCATATATCTCCTCTTTATATCTGAACAGTGTTTCAGAAAAGATCCCCCCCCCCAAAAAACCCACAATCCAAGAAACCTGCTGTTCCCAACTGACACACTCTCTTTCAGCCTGGTGAACATGACCGGAATGTTCACTAATGACTGAAAGCCATCGTAATGTAGCAATTAAGAGTGCCAGATTAAGCTCAGAGAGGGAAACCAAAGTTCAAATCCCTATTTAGGCATTAGGTGATCTTGGACCTCTTATCATCTCTAATCCTAATTGACTTCACAGGGCTGTTGTGAGGATAAAATAAATATTGGAGGAAACACTATGTATATACTATCTATAGGTCAATGAAGAAAAGCAGGATACACATGTCATGAGTAAGTAAATAAATAAATTCTGTCTACACAGAAGATGTGCATCGCAATACATATGGAAGGCTACAGGTCAGGGAAGGCTGGGCTTCATAATATAGTTTCTGTCCTCTTTTACTTCCCATTACCAGTTCTTTGGATGCTTTTGAAATAAAGAAATCATTTTTCATTGGTGCTTCCTTGACACTGAAGAATCAAGGACATCTCATTATCAGAGAGGAGAGGGACAGCAACAACAACAACAATAACAACAATAGGTCCTTCAGTCCTTCATGGAGTTGTAAGGGTGTGTGTGGCAAAGGATCACTAGCAAAGAATTTTTAGCAGCATTCTTACCCATGCTAAAGTTCTTAGGTTTCCTTGGGAATATCTCCAATAGCTGGACTGATAAAAAAACTGATAAATATTTGCAGTGTAGATGGAAGCTTAACCAAAGCTTACACATCTGTCACATTCTAACCCCTACACTATATACAAAAAACATAATTGCTACACTCTCTGCTGCTACAAGGAAAGCCTTACTTTTTGCATCAAAGAAGGAAACTTTGGTCCTCCAGATGTTGTTGGCCTGCACATCCCAACATGGCTAGTGGCAAGGGGTAATTGGAGCTGAAGTTCAAAATACTGTATCTGGTGGCCCAAAGGTTTCCCATCCTCACTATAAACAGTGGTTACAAGTAATTTGTTAGTGTAAGACTGTCTGATGAGTAGCTCTGCCTCTTACATTTCATCTGATTGATCCTGGCCCCTGAAGATTACAATGTTTTAGCCATCTCTGGAAGATATGGCTCTGTTCCCTCCATATACTCTGCACTATGCTTCGTCCTTGGAAAAAAGCACCTTTGACTTCTTAAGATGCATCAGTCTGGACTTTCCAAGGCGCAAAAATGATACCATTCTTCTTTTTCCTTGTATACAGAGCCAGCTGGGACAACTTTTGACCCACAAAACAGCAGCCAACCTGTCGTGTAGATCAGTGGTCCCCAACCTTGGGTCCCCAGGTGTTCTTGGACTTCAGCTCCCAGAAATCCTGGCCAGAAGAGGTGGTGGTGAAGGCTTCTGGGAGTGGTAGTCCAAGAACATCTGGAGGCCCAAGGTTGGGGACCACTGGTGTAGATCACCAGGGGGAGGGCTGATAAGCCTCCAGTTTTTATTTATACAGTGGTGCCCTGCATAGCGACGTTAATCCGTTCCAGATTAACATCGCTATCCGGAAACATCGCTATCTGGAATGTAAAACCCCATAGGAACGCATTAAACACCGTTGAATGTGTTCCTATGGGGTGAAAACTCACCGGTAAGTGAAGAATTCCCATCCGGCCGCCATTTTCACCCCCTCGGTAAGCGAGGGCAAGGCACGAAAATGCTGCGGGCGGCCATTTTCTTCTTCCGGTGTCCATTTTGGAACCGCCAATCAGCTGTTCCCAAAACATTGCAATGCGAAGATCGGTAAGCGAAAGGCTTAACGATCACTGCAACGCGATGTTTTGCCATTCAAAATGTCGCAATGCAATCTCATTAGCAATCGCAAAAAACGCATCGCTATGCGGATTCATCGTTAAACGGTGCGCTCGTTAAGCGAGACACCACTGTATTATGTTTGTTTGTTTGCTTGTTGCTTACTTAGGCATATAAGGAAAACAACAAGAACAAATTGCTAAGCACGGAGCCAGTTATAGCATGGCTGGCTGTGCTCGGCTGGATTTACCGACCTACACACTATAATCATTTCCTCCCATTTGCCCATCTTGAGAACTCACTGGTGACAGCCACATGACGGTTGGACTTTCCTTCATCGATAACATCCAGAATCTCTTCAGGGCTGGAGACAAAGCGCTCAGTGCAGCCCTAAAGGGAAAGGGGAGGAAAAGGAGTGTTAGCACAGTATATAGCAGCAACGATTCTGTCTTCTGTTTTCAAGTTCATGCTATCCTGTCACGCTCTGTCCCCCATCTCCTCCCTTCTTGCCATAGGTAAATGTCAAAGGAAGCCGATCATGACAGGCAGGAATCTTCCACTCATGCAATGCTTTCGAAAATTTTAGTTATACAGAACTGGTTATATCTCTAGTTATCATAAGCTGAAATTCTGTTGGGTAAATTTACACTGCATGAGCACGATGATATCATCATCCAGTGAGGGAAATCTTCAATTCAATTCAATTAAAATTAAAATTTAAAAAATCTCAAATCCCCATCCTTTTCAAGTTTTGATGTTCTTGGGAAACCTTTGGGAGTCTTAGGCCTGATGGTGGTGGAGGACTGGAGACTTTAACATTGAAAAATCTCTGCCGGATCACCACCAACAGTCCTGATCCACAATAGCAGTTCTATTTTGCTTTGTAAAAGAATGTGGTGTATCCAAGAGCAGGTCTCTGAATCTTGCTTTGAATCATGTTTCCATAGTCGGGACTGAAACCTGTATCCTTGGGGCAGAGCACTGGCTATGTGCGATAGCACATGTTATTAATGCATCCCTCCTGTTTCCCAAAAATCTCACCTTCACAAACGGCACACGATTCTTATCCTCATGAACTGACAGGTTGGTCTTGGTCACTGTGGGTGAGGAGGAAAAAAAGGATTCAGAGAGGGCCCAGTTAATCTAGGGCAGTGGTTTCCAAACACCAGTCTCCAGACATTCTTGGACTACAACTCCCAGAAGCCTTCACCATTGGTTGTGCTAGCAAGGGCTTCTGAGAGTTGCCTCCAAGAACATATGGGCACCCAAGTTTGGGAACCACTGATTGAGGCAGATACATTTCACTTCAGTTCCCCATCAGCATCACCACCACAGCTAGAGTCCCACCATGTCACCATCTCCCACCAACCCCACCATTAACCTCTCACCATCTAGCAGATCACGGATTTTGTCTAGGTAGATTTCAAAGTAGGAAACCTGTGGAGGAAATGAGAAGACAAATAAATAAAACAGATATAAGAAAGAAGACATCCTTGGATTTCCCTTAGACATCATCCCCATAGACAATGCCTTTCCATTGTGCTCAAGAGGAAGACAAGGAATCTGACCATCCAAAACAACAACAACAACAAAACAAAACACCAGTCCTCAAGGTAGGAACTGTCTCTTTTGTTCAGCCTTTAACACCTTCAGGACATTGTACCAATATTTACCAGTAATAATAAACCCTCTATGTACTTTCCCCTGTATATATAACATTGCTCTGGGATGCATAGGTTTTGGGGAAGATTTTTTGAACGATAGCTGTCAGAATCTCCTAACGAGGACACATGTACAGTTCCAGGCATATCAAATAAATACAGTCCAAAAATGTAATGTTCCCAAGCTCCAGAGGTAACACTTTGGAGTTCCTTGGCGAAGCACTGGTTGCCTGCTCCATGAGGTGAATGAAGAAGGGATTCCTGATGATGGAAGACCTGATTCTATTGTTCTTCCTACCCATGTCCTTTGAGGTTCCTCCCCATTGCACCATCATTTTCACACACAGCTGCTTTGTTGGTGGTACTCACAATTACCTCTGCCCATACCCTGAGCTCCATAGTTCTATATATCTCTCACCTTAATGTGGAATTCCAGGTTCTCGTCCATGGAGTAGATGTGGTTGAAGATGTCCTGGGCAATACGCGGGATGATACCCATGAGCTGAGGGTCATGCAGCTTTCCCTGGTGGAACAGAGGTGTCAGCAATAGAGTCCTAAGAGGGATTAATCTCCTATGCACCCCAATGTTCTCCATTTAAGCTTTGACTTTGAGAAGCAAGTTAATGCCCTAGGGTACAGCAGCCAGGCCAACATTTCCCAATCATGGATGGGATTTAAAAAATATACACTAGGCATCCTCTCCTCACCTCCATGGTGTGAGTCTTTCCTGAAGATGTCTGTCCATAGGCAAAGATGGTGCCATTGTATCCAGCTAGCACATCTGCATGAAAAATGCAGGCCAATAAGACAGAGCACACCTTGGTTCTCACACATCTTCACCTTAGGGCACAGCCCTTCATGCCCTCCTGTGCAAGCCAGTCTCACTAAATACCCACCCTCCTGCCCTCCTACTCACCTTTGACGATCTGCATGGCACAGGCATGGTACACTTGCTCCTGGGTGGTGTTGGGTGGAAAGACACGGTCAAAGACATAAGGCTTTCCCTGGTTTGGGGGAGGGGGGAAGAGAACAAGAAAGGTCAAGGATCAGCTGGGAAAAACTGAAGGCTTGTATGGCATCTCTGCCACCATTATTTCTAACAGCAAACCCGCCATGGCCCCCATCTTCTCCTGCCATAAGCAACCCTCTTCACAGGGCAATGCAGTTCTTCATTCAGTGGGTCTTCCTCCTAAATAAATCTGCACAGGATCAAAACAAAAGGGTACAAAGCTTGTCAATATCTCACTCCATTCCGCTTTTGCTTCTCAAGTTACATACAGGACATCAGATTTTGAAACTGAGATCTGGCAGATTGTGTCTTTAAGCACATTAGGCGTCGGTTTAGGGTAAACTGCTATTGAAATGCACTTGATTCTGATTTATCCTGAATAATTTTGGCTGTTTCATTGCTGTGGTTCTGCTCATCTATAGTTTTGTGGTTCATTGTTTTCTGAAGGTGATTGTTATCCATAGGGATGGTCCGTTATGGGATGAATGGAGGGGCATATTATCTTGTGCATTCATACATAAGTACACACCTCTTGCCGCCATTTCTCATTGTTTTCACTGTGAAGGTTCCATGGGACCTGAGTTTCCCTTTGGATGATCTAATTCTCAAGCTGTAGAACATAGAAACTGCTCATTTCTATAAGAGGCAAGAAAAGCTCAAACCCTTTGGTCCTCAGAGAATTAGCACTGTTTCCAGTTGTTTTTGTTGCTGATGCTGATGCTGCTGTTGTTGTTATTTCAGCAGGAATTGAGGAAAAATGTGCAATGGGGTAAAATATGTTACTGATCATTTTTGCAGCTGGAAAAATGCAAGGAAAATTAGACATGCACACTCGAGACAATGGGAAGGAAAATTTCACCAGCAAAACCAGCCCCCCCAAAAAATAAAATAAATAAACACACAGAAGCTTTATAAGCTTTTGAGATTATTGTGAATGGAGAAGGAGGAAAAGTGATTAATTTTGGTAAATCTGATAAAGCAGCACAAATAGACAAGTTTGTTATTGAAATAAGGCAAATTCATAAACGTATTTTCTCTGTAAACTAGGCACCTCCCCTCCCCCCCAAAAAAACTACTGACTACCATGAAGGATGTGCCACTGATACAAAGCATAAGAAAGAAGCAAACCATATTTTGTGTCTGACTTTTCTCTCCTCGCCTCAGCTTCCTTCCTTCCTTCCTTTCCTTCCTTTCCTTCCCTTCCTTCCCTTCCTTCCCTCCTTCCCTCCTTTCTTTCTTTCTTTCTTTCTTTCTTTCTTTCTTTCTTTCTTTCTTTCTTTCTTTCTTTCTTTCTTTCTTTCTTTCTTTCTTTCTTTCTTTCTTTGGGTTGTCTGATGGGCATTTATGGAGCCAGAGAATAGGGTTTTTGAATCATAAATACAGTGTTTATCACCATTCCAAATACCATGCTGTGCTAATAGCTCTCGAGGAAGGCAAACAGCATGACAATGCTTTGAGGTCACGCCTTAGTTTTATTCTGCACACATATCTTTCACACAGAGACCTACTTTTCCCAGGAGGTTCAAGCTGTGAAATCATGCAAAGATATTCCAGAGTTCTCTCTAGAAAAGTAGCTCTTATTCACCAGATTCAATAGTCCCATTCAAGCATTATATCCTCAAAACATGAAGGGTTCCAACTGGGATGGGAACATGGAGACAACATGCAGAGAAGCCTATTGTGCCAAATCCCTCCGCAACTGGATGCCAGTCAGACTTTTGCAGGATGAGCGCGCATGTCCGAAACAACACTTGCACCTTTAAGAGTGTTTGGCTGGACATGCCTACAGAACGTCCACAATAAGGAACCACGATAAAGCTCTGTAGTATAAATGGCAGTCTGCACCCCTAGTTCTTCCCAGACACATCAGGAAGAGATGACAGAAACAGCCTTCCATAAACTGGTACCTTTCAAATATGTTGGACTAGAACTCCCCATCAGCCCCAAGCAGGATGGCCTATAGTCAGCGATGATGGGAGATGTTGCCTCAGGTATCTGGATGGATGAGACTGGAGTGCTGCCATACCACAAAGTGTCCTTCAAGGAGCCTGCATGAGGAATACAGTACTTAATTTCTTTCTCCACTAGCTTCGTTTTGAGACTGTTCTGTGAAGAGGGAGCTGTCCAAGTGCTGGATTTATTTCAGTGCAGATTTGGTGGCAATCTTCTCAGCTACCTTTAGAAACCAAACCACTGTGGATTTGGGGCAGAATAATCTGAGCCTGAAGGAAACCTATGAAGCAACTTCTTTTTTAAAAAAATCTGAGAATCTAAGCTGGAACTGCACCAGAGAGTTAGGATAAGTAAGAAAGCTAAACACTGTCCAAACAAACAAAAACAACAACAACGATGACACAGGGACAGATTGGCTTCTTCTTTGGGTGTCCAAACAAACAAACAAACAAACAAAAAACGACACAGGGACAGATTGGCTTCTTCTTTGGCAGCAGCTGGCAATCCTTGGACACACGTTGTATAGGAGGGTGCTTTTCCATCAGCACAGATATATCTGTGACAATCCTTGGACACACAGCTTGTCATTCGTTGTATAGGAGGATGCTTTTCCATCAGCACAGATATATCTGTGGCCAAGTCTATTATTGGAACACCTTGAGCACAACAAGTGCTCTAACTTGCCACTGCTCCACTCACACAATGTTGCAAGCACACAACCCTCGGCACCTTTAGCAAAATGCTATATCTCACTCTCTGGCACCTGCCTCCTTATTTTATCACATCACCAGGACACAGAATTACACCTTGCGGATCTATTTTTGGGGCAAAACTGTCTTTAAATAAATATGAGAAAGAAGGTCAAAGAGGGGCTATAAAAATGGGAAGTGATGTCCTTTAATTTTCCTTTGATCTGCTGCACCATCATCTTGAAACAGATCAGTATTGTCAGTTGCATATGAGACAACCACCAAACTAGAGGCAAATTTAAGATTAAAATTCCACTGTAGCTGACTAGCGTGGGACCAACTCTGCTGCATTATTTATACATAATTAAGAGAGTTTCTTTTTTTAACATCCTTGTTAATTAAATCCTTGCACAAGGAAAAATTGCCCATTACAGATAGGCAAGGATGTTGGCCGCTGAATCCAGATAAATTGGTCTACAATTAAGATATAGTTTAGGGGCTCTAATTAGTTTTAAACCCACTCCTCTGAATAGTTATAGCAACAAAGGAGAAGCTAAGCATACCATTATTGGTGAGGCCAAGCAACTATTCCTTCTTCAAGCAAAGATGGCCCTCTGGACCCATGACGAAGAAAAAATCAGATTCACAGTCAGACATTACCTTTAGTTTGCTCAACACTAAGTCATAGGATTATGAATGCTGAAGTTGCTGTTTTGTGACATTTGGTTGGTCCTTATTCAATTCATGGCTCTGTTGTGCATTTTGGAATCATCTTTCTTCATTAGTCCCTGTTTCCCTTCATGTATCCTTGCAGTCTCTTGTGGAATGATGAAGGGTTAGCTCAGGGGAAGAGCACATGCTTTGCATGTAAAGAGTCAATGTCTAACCTCTTCCAGTAGGGAGGCCACTGCCAGACAGTGTCAACAATGCAGATGGGACAATGGTTCGATCAATATAAAGCAGCTTTAATGCAACTGGCTACATTCTTGTAATAAATCCAACAGTTCAGCATGTCCCTATAGCTTACACGGACTATGCTAGAATTGAATAGTAGGGAAAGAAGCTATGTATTAGTAGAGCAATTAGCTTCTCCTTGCTTTAAATCCTACCACTTAAAGGTACTGTAAAGTGAAAGATCTCTATTTTTTAAATCCCACCCTTCTCTGAAATATAACAGCACACACAAAATGTATCCCAAAACTTGCCACATTCTGTCACTTTAAAACAGACAAAGCTTCTCATTTTGTCTTCTTCTTCCCCTATTAGCTATGGAAACCCAGCTCAGTCTTCACTTTGATGTCTGAGATTTCACGAAGCGTTGCCCATGCATTTTCCCAGTCGTAACAACAATGCTGGAAAATGGTGTGTGACTGGGTGGACATAGGTTGGGCTGTGAATGTGCTCATAATAGCGCATTCTCCACTCAGAATTGAATTCAGCATCAGTATGGCATGACTCCTGAAAGGTGGAACATACACATTTTTGGGACTGTAGCCTATGAGTGCTCTGTGAGAAGACAAATATCTTGTTCTTTCCTTTTTAATTTCCTGGATTTCCAAGGGGAATATCATCCTGATCTATACTGTTACACAGGGTCAGAACTAAGCCTCTCTAGAAATGCACTCCCCTAGTGTTCTTTTGCACAGAAAAGAGGCACACACACCAAGAACACAGTCCGGATGCTATTTCTTTTCTCAGCCACCAGAAGGAGTATCTGGCCACCACGCTGCTGAAATAATGCTCATTCACAGAAAAGGCAGACATGGGTCCTATACATCCTTCTTCAAACAAGCAATAGTGCTAGACTACAGCTCTCATGATCCCCCTCTTGACTTGAGACAAATAGGTTTGTAGTATAATACATCTGAACAGTGCCAAGTTTGGGAAGGCTGCTCTAGATTGCTCAAGTTACAGAGACATTATTTAAAAAAAACCAAACAGCCTACAATTTATGAACAAAAATGCTTTATTTGCATTCATTGCAACAAAATTGCACTACTGTATATTGCAAGAAATCAATTGGCACTGCCTCCTTGCAGCCCTAGCTCTCCACTTCACTATGAGAAAAGCTAAGAGTACATAGATTTTTCACTAATTTTCCTATGAGCCTTGTGGTACATGTGCTACAATCTCACTTTCCCCTACCAAGATTCTCTACTATACAAGGTTCCACATAAACCACAAATGCATCTTTGCAGGTCTCAGAAACCAGGTACCTAAAACAATTGTACTGATTTAAAAATAGAACTAGCACCCATAACTGCAAATGGAGCTCCCTTCTTTCATTACAAGATACATCTTCATGAATAAAATTCTGGGGGCAATTAGTAGAGGAGAACTATTTACAGCCTTG